GCACAGGGATGAAGGCCCCAAGACGCAGGGAGGAAGGGGGTGGGGGGTGCCCGGTCACCCCGCAATCAGGGCACCCCAAAACCGACTGCCCTCATGTGCGTGCAGGGGAGTCTGGGGGTGCTGGGGGTTCCCTCCCGGGGGTCCCCCCCCGGGGGTCCCCAATGTTAAGCGCTGTGTTTCTGCCTCTTCCAGAAGCGTTTGACGTCGGGGTGCCCGCCGGGGGTCACCACCATCAGCCGCCGGGAGGGGTTCTCGAAAACCAGCACCCCCAGTGCCCGCGCGTGGTCCCGCAGCACCTCGAAATCCACCTGCGACAGGAACTGGTTGTACAGGACCCCTGCGGGGAAAGGGGGGTGTCAGCGGGGCTGGGGACACCCCCCCTTGGGGACTGTCACCCCGACAGCAGCCAGCGCCTTGCGGGGGGCCCCTGGGATGGGCACCATCATCCCGGGGATCTGTCACCCGCCTTGGGGACCTCAGGGGGGGGCTGTCACCTCCGCTCTGGGGGTGTCCCCTCCTCTTGGGGACTTCCCCATGGGCTGCCACCTCCCCTTGGGGAACTCAGGAACCTCCCCAGAGCTGTCACCTCCCCTTGGGGACGTCCCCATGGGCTGTCACCTCCCCTTGGGGACCTCAGGGACCTCCCCAGGGCTGTCACCTCCCCTTGGGGACCTAAGGGACATCCCCAGAGCTGTCACTTCCCCTTGGGGACCTCCCCATGGGCTGCCACCTCCTCTTGGAGACCTCAGGAACCTCCCCAGGGGCTGTCACCTCCCCTTGGGGACCTTCTCAGGTGGTGTCACCTCCCCTTGGGGAAACTGGGGACAGCTTTGGGACCCCTGAGGCTCTCACCTCCCCTTAGGTCCCCCCCCTCCTTGGGGACACCCTAAGGCCACCTGTTCCCCTGGGGTGGGGGGCACTCCCCTAAAGACCCTGGGGTCACCCCGGAGATGCCACCCCATCCCCTTGGGGACAGGGGGTGACGCCAGGGGCCGTCCCTCACCCTCGGAGAAGCGCAGCCGATCCCGCTCCAGCTCCCACAGGCGGATCTGGTCGGTGATGGTGGGGGGCAGCACCGGGGTCTGGGGGTGCAAGGGCGGCGTGGGGCCACGTGTCAGGGTCCCTCCTGTCCCCCACCATGGGGGACCCAAGTGTCAGGTGACCCCCCCCATCCCCCACCCCAGGGGACCCAGGTGTCGGGGAGCCCCCTGTCCCCTCTCAGGGGGACCCAGGTGTTGGGGGACACCCCCTGTCCCCCCTGGGGGGACCCAGGTGTTGGGGGGGACCCCCTGTCTCCCCCCAGGGGAACCCAGGTTTCAGGGACCCCCCCCGTTCCCCACCCCAGGGGGACCCAAGTGTCAGGGACCCCCCCATCCCAGGGGACCCAGGTGTTGGGGGACCCCCCTGGGGGGACCTGAGTGTTGGGGGACGTGCCCTGTCCCCCCTGGGGGGGACTCTGGTCCACAGGTTTCGGGGACCCCCCCGTTTGCCACCCCAGAGGGACCCAGGTGTTGGGGGACCTTCCTGTTCCCCCCCACCCAGGGGGACCTGTGTGTCAGCGACCCCCCCCCCCCATCCCCCCCCGGGCACACCCAAGTGTTGAAAAAAAAA